CGCTTGGCTTGGTGAGCTGCTGCTGGTGTCCCCAGGAGGGAGCTGGCCTCTTGTTGCCCTGCCTGCATCACCCTGCACCTCCCTGCGGACCCTGTCCTCCGGCCTTGGGTGTCACCCAGTGTGAGGGGCACTGGGAGGGGAGAGTAGGAAGGGTGTCCCAAGAGGGAAGCATGGGAGCTCGCCCACCCTACGTGGAGCCCCGGGGAGGGCAGAAATGGGCAGCGCTGCCTGCAGCTCAAGCTGCTGGTAGAGGTAACTGTGTGTGTCCGCCCAAGTGGCGCTAAGGCACTTCTTAACTAAACACCCATTAAAGTAGCATGGGTGCTGGGAAGGAGGGTCAAGATCTACTGGTGCAATACAGCAGCAGCCCCCAAGCACAAGCCTGCCCAGCGTCCATCTGTCTAGTGCCCAGGTTAAGTTGCAGGTGCTTCTGTTCAGTCTTGTTCTTGTGTGCTGACTGCCGTCCTTCTCCTCGCCCCGCTCTAGGGGAACCTCCGGGACACTGCTGGCCGGCTGCCAGGCCTCTGCAACCTAAGGACTCTGGCCAGTGATGTGGTATGGTTACAAGCACGCCGGATCCTGCTACGGTGCAGGAGGCGGCTGCATCCCTAGGGGACGTATCTCTGCAGGCGGTATCTCTGCATTAGGGCATGGTCCCCAGCGGTGCTGGCTGTGAGGGGGAGTGCTCCTGTGGGTCCCGCCGTGCCCCTGGCTACATGGCGGGGGTAAACCCTTGATCCCTTCCTTCCCCAGCAAATGCTGAAGGAAAGGCTGGGCCTGTACCCAGACCCAGACGAGGTGACCAACATGGTGCACTGGGATGTGCTGGAGGATTGCCTGGTGGGCAGCAAAGGAGACCAAGGAAGAGATGGAGGAAGACCCAGAGGAGAACAAGAAGGAGACCAGTCTGCCACCACCAAGCCTCCCACTTCAGATATGGACAGCCCACATGGGGCAAGCTCAGTGCTGGGATCTAGAGACAGCTCGGTGGAGCTGAAGGATCCAGGGACAGCTCTAACGGCCCCTAAGCAGCAGGCAAGCGTTCCCTCAGATCAGAGGAGGAACGCTAGCACCACAGCGATGATGCAGACAGTGTGTCAGGACGCACAGACCAGCAGCTTGGGGACACAGCCAACCCAGCCAGAGTCCACGGGCACCCAGACCACCACCCTGGGGATGCAGCCAGAGCCCACCGTCCCTCAGACCACCACCTCAGGGGAGCGGCTCGGCACACAGCTTCACGAGGCAGGCCCCCTGGCAGCAGGGACTCTCTTGCCGACAGCCCAGGGATTCGAGATCCCGCTCGACACTGATCCCAGGGCCACGTCCCACTTGCAAGAGCTGGCCTTGCCCTCGCGCTCCAGCAGTGCCTACCACAACGCCTACAATTGCTACGTGGAGACGGTGGAGGCTCTCAAGCAGATTGGGGAGCTCAGACACCTCTGTGCTCCCCTGAAGGAGCAGGTGGCCCAGCTAGAAGCCACCAAATTGGACGCGACTGAACTGGAGAAGCTGCGCCTGCTCCTCCAGGAGAGAGGTGGGAGCTCTGGGAGGCTTGTGGGGGGTGCTGGAAATGCTGCGTCTGGAGCTCGTTGTGCTCAGAGCCTGGCCCGTAGAGTGAGACCCCTTCACTGACAGTGTGTCCCCTTGTACCACGTTCTTCTAGGCCAGGAGAGCGTTGCCAACACGCTGGGTGACCTCCAGGCCCCGGTGCCATCCCTGCAGGGCCTGGCCAGTGACCTGCAGGGCTTGTCCAGGGACCTGCAGGGCGTGGCCAGGGACCTGCAGGGCGAGAAGGGAAAGGTAAGGAGTCCCCGAGGGAGATGCAGGGATGCTGGGAGAGTTGGGCACGGAGGAGGCAGCTGGAGAGCCCCTGTGCTGGGATGGCACAGGGGCCATGCCCTGACTCTGCCCCCACTGCCGTTCCCAGATCAGGAAGCTGGAGAGTGCCCTTGGCAAACTGGAGGCAGCCAGAGCCAGCTGGCAAATGGACCTCAGCAACCAACGCAGCCTGCCATTGGGGTAAAAGGACAGGAGAGGGTTTCGTACCCTGTGGGGCTGCAAGGGAGCCCAGGAGGGCTGGGAGCATCCCATGATGGGGGGTGACGGATGCCCCCTGAGCAATGAAGCTTCTGAAGACTAAGCCTACCTCTGTCCCCGTCTCGCTGGCCAGGTCCACACCGCAGGAGGTAAAGTGGGACAGGAAGGATCTGGCAGAGAAGCAGCAAATAAGCAAGGCTGCACTGGATCAGTTGGTGGCCCAGACGGGCGAGGAGGAGCGGGAGCAGGTGAGGTGTGGGGGGAGCTCTCACCACCCGCTGGTTCGGTGAGGTGGTCCTGGTGGGGTTCCCAGGCACATCCCCTGGCTTGCTGGGGCCATGGAGCCCCCACGGCTCCTGGGATTGTTGGTTGCATGTGTCCCATCTCAGAGGTGATTCCTCTTCCCCTTCTGCAGCTGGAAGAGCTGAGCGTGATGGAGAGCACGGGGCAGGAGGAGGCCGCATGCCCCACCTGCAGCAGCAACGTCAGCACGCGTTTGGGGAAGCTTCTGCAGCGCTATGAGAAGCTGCAGGGGTTGGTGGACTCCCTTATGTCAAGCAAGAAGAGGGGCAAGGTGGTGAGGGAGCTGCCAGGGAAGAGCCAGGTAGGGAGATGGCAGCATGGGGGACTTTGGGAGGGGGCTGCCAGAACCATGCCCGGCTGTTTGTGCTTCGGTGTTATGTGGGGGAGTTCCTTGCTCCCCCCCACATTATCTTGTAAAGTCTGCAGCATAGAGGGGGATTCAAGCCATGCTGCAAATGTCCTGCTGGCACTGAGAGCCTACGGCCACTGGCCCAGTAAGCCAGGTCTGTCCCCGTGGGGCAGCCACCCCACCTTGCGTGGCACTACCTTGTTATTTTCCTCCCTGGAGCAGGACCAGGAGACGCTGAAGCGTGTGCAGGCTGCCATCCTGCAGATGCAAGGGGAGTATGAAAAGCTCAACTCTGTCACGGGGAGGCTCCTGGATGACAGTCGCCAGCAGCAGAAAGATATCGAGGTAGATGGCTGAAAGCCCCATGGGCTTAGGGCCTCCTCCAGGCAGAGCCCAGGTTGGGGACCATAAGCGAATTTCCCCGTGGAGGTTAAAAGTACCTTAACCCAGAGGATTCTTCGGGGGGGGGGGGGGAGAAGCAGGAGTGCTCCTGCCACAATGTCACATGATGCTTTCTGTGTTGGAAGGGTCTGTTCCAGTCCATGGAGAGGCTGGAGAAGGAGAAGGCAGACAAGGAGGACCTGGAGCTGGGAATGGATGAGGTACAACCTCAAGGGGCCTAAGCAGCAGCCAAGGGGGTCCTGGGCAGGGTGACAAATGCCCCTTGTCCCCTGGGAGCTTGGTGGCAGAGCTGGTCTGCGGGAGGGAGGATTTCTAGCCCAGCTGCAGGTCCCTCCGTCTCCCCCCGTGTCCCTTGGGCTGGTGGGACCGACCCCGTGGTGGTGATGGGGCGAGTGGGAGCACACAGCCGTGGGAGGGGCACAGTGGTCCTGCAGAAGTGCTATTGCCTCTGCCCCTGCGATGAGCTGACCCTGGCTCTTGCACCTCCGTCCTTTCGCCACCGTTCTCCTGCCTTTCCCTGTCGCTAGAAAGCAGAAAAGGGCGCCTTGGAAAGCAAAGTCAGTCGCACCCAATTTGAGGCGAGCCTGGAGCTGCTGAACAAGAGAAACCAGGAGGTGCTGAGCCGGGTGACAGGCCAGGAGCATGGGCTGCACGAGGTCCAGCAGCAGCTGCGGGAGGAGATGGCCACCAAGGTGAGGGGCGGCTCATCACCGCTGCACAAAACTGGCACCTTCGGGGCTTGGTGGCCCAAAGCAGCATCCTCCTGAGGATACCTGCTCCTGGCTTTTCCCTGGGGATGCAGTCTCCCATCCCGGAGCCGCTACCTGAGGGAGTGTGTCTGTCTGCAGCTGGATCGCCTGGAGCTGGGGCCATTCCAGCAACGGCTGGAGGAACAGTGGAAGAGCAGCCTTGAGCAGCTCAAGAAAATGGCACCACTGACAGAAGCTGACGATGCAGCTGGGATTAGGAAGTGAGTGCAACAGGGACAGCACTCGCCTTGTTCCTGCTTTCTCCTTGCCTGCATCCCCTGTTCCCATGGTGCTCTGGGTGCCTGTGGCAGTGGTTCCCACAGCATTGGAGGTTTTTGGGCGCTCCCCTCTGTGGACTCCTCTGTGCCTAAGCCGAGGTGGAGCTTTTTCCCAGGAGGCAGCCCGCAACCAAGCACTCTCCCTCATCCTATCGCCTTTCTTCTGTAACCAGCCAGCAGCTTGGGGAGATGGGTGCTGGTGGTGTTCCAGACCAGGCATGGGGTTTGGGGCGTCTGCCTCTGAGGGTCCGATCGTGCCCAGCGCCTTCCACAGGCCTGCCCATCAGCGGGAGGATTAGGACCTCTCCCTGAGGGCAGCAGGCAGGGGATGCCATGAGGTACAAGCCTATGGGGTTCGGGGTGCTGCCACGAGCCAGGGTGGGTCATTTGTCGCCTGTCACCCACTGATGGCTCTTGCCCTCCCCAGGCCTATCCCGCCCATCCCACCACTTCCACCTCTGGTCCCTCGCATCGCTGGACAATCCCACCCTCTTTTAAAGACAGAGCAAACCCACAGGTAGGGGACATGGGACCCATCCCCATCCCTGGGCTGCAGGATGGCTCTGTCCCAGCAAGGGAGAGTCCTTCCCTGTGCTGCTGCCACCACCCTTCCCACCCAGGTGCCAATTTGCTACCACCTAGCAAGGGCTCTGCTCCCTCCCCCAGGGCAGGGCAGGGACAGCTCGTGGAGGTGCCAGATGTGCCACTGTTTTCAGCTCCTTCAGTGACACGTGGCCGCGGGCCAAGGGCAGATGCTTCAGGCCACACAGGCGCTTTGCCTTTCCTGGCCCAACTGCTCTATCGTGTCGAGCTGGGGAGGAGAGAACGCGTTGGCTAAAGCACGGGGCTGAATTCAGCATCCCCAAGCAACCCCCTATACCCATCTCTCCTGGGGAAACTGAGGCATGGCTCCCCCACCCCAGATGCTCAGCATCGCCCTCCCAACCTCAGTCAGCCCCGCCGGATCCCTTCTTTCTTCATCCCTACCTTGCTGGGAAGCAGGGTGGAGGGCTGGAGTGCCTGTGGGGCGCTGGGCTGGAGAAGCTGGAGGTGCAGGCTGCGCTGCAGCGGGTGTGTGAGGGGATGCTGGCCCCCACACTGCCGTGGCAAGGTGGGGTACCTGCATGCAGCCATCCGCTCCCTGCAGGATAGGGTATGGGGACACTCAGCACCCAGCACGCAACTCGGCACATGTGGCTTCAGCGCCACTGAGAGAGAGGTGGGGCAGCACAGTGGGGAGGCTGTGAAACCCCCAGGCCTGGGGCAAGCACAGCTGAGCCTCTGTGGCACATCTCTGCTTCCCTGCCCTGCCCAGGGAGCAGAGCCCTTTACCCCGACTCAGGGAAGGACTCTCCCTTGCTGGGACAGAGCCATCCTGCAGCCCAGGGATGGGGATGGGTCCCATGTCCCCTACCTGTGGGTTTGCTCTGTCTTTAAAAGAGGGTGGGATTGTCCAGCGATGCGAGGGACCAGAGGTGGAAGTGGTGGGATGGGCGGGATAGGCCTGGGGAGGGCAAGAGCCATCAGTGGGTGACAGGCGACAAATGACCCACCCTGGCTCGTGGCAGCACCCCGAACCCCATAGGCTTGTACCTCATGGCATCCCCTGCCTGCTGCCCTCAGGGAGAGGTCCTAATCCTCCCGCTGATGGGCAGGCCTGTGGAAGGCGCTGGGCACGATCGGACCCTCAGAGGCAGACGCCCCAAACCCCATGCCTGGTCTGGAACACCACCAGCACCCATCTCCCCCCATCCCACCCATGCAGACTCCTGATGCGCCTGTGTTAGGCGCTACTTACGAGCCAGGCACCCGCATGCTGAGTTGCCTGTCACAAGACAGGCACTGGAAATCCGCCAGCAGCTGCCTGGGGAGGGGAGAAAGGGCTGGGTGAGTTGGGAAACCTGGTTTTGAGCCTGCTTTAACCCCGCCCCCCCCCCCCCCCCCCCCCACCAACAAGGTCCCAAGCTGCTGGCTGGTTACAGAAGAAAGGCGATAGGATGAGGGAGAGTGCTTGGTTGCGGGCTGCCTCCTGGGAAAAAGCTCCACCTCGGCTTAGGCACAGAGGAGTCCACAGAGGGGAGCGCCCAAAAACCTCCAATGCTGTGGGAACCACTGCCACAGGCACCCAGAGCACCATGGGAACAGGGGATGCAGGCAAGGAGAAAGCAGGAACAAGGCGAGTGCTGTCCCTGTTGCACTCACTTCCTAATCCCAGCTGCATCGTCAGCTTCTGTCAGTGGTGCCATTTTCTTGAGCTGCTCAAGGCTGCTCTTCCACTGTTCCTCCAGCCGTTGCTGGAATGGCCCCAGCTCCAGGCGATCCAGCTGCAGACAGACACACTCCCTCAGGTAGCGGCTCCGGGATGGGAGACTGCATCCCCAGGGAAAAGCCAGGAGCAGGTATCCTCAGGAGGATGCTGCTTTGGGCCACCAAGCCCCGAAGGTGCCAGTTTTGTGCAGCGGTGATGAGCCGCCCCTCACCTTGGTGGCCATCTCCTCCCGCAGCTGCTGCTGGACCTCGTGCAGCCCATGCTCCTGGCCTGTCACCCGGCTCAGCACCTCCTGGTTTCTCTTGTTCAGCAGCTCCAGGCTCGCCTCAAATTGGGTGCGACTGACTTTGCTTTCCAAGGCGCCCTTTTCTGCTTTCTAGCGACAGGGAAAGGCAGGAGAACGGTGGCGAAAGGACGGAGGTGCAAGAGCCAGGGTCAGCTCATCGCAGGGGCAGAGGCAATAGCACTTCTGCAGGACCACTGTGCCCCTCCCACGGCTGTGTGCTCCCACTCGCCCCATCACCACCACGGGGTCGGTCCCACCAGCCCAAGGGACACGGGGGGAGACGGAGGGACCTGCAGCTGGGCTAGAAATCCTCCCTCCCGCAGACCAGCTCTGCCACCAAGCTCCCAGGGGACAAGGGGCATTTGTCACCCTGCCCAGGACCCCCTTGGCTGCTGCTTAGGCCCCTTGAGGTTGTACCTCATCCATTCCCAGCTCCAGGTCCTCCTTGTCTGCCTTCTCCTTCTCCAGCCTCTCCATGGACTGGAACAGACCCTTCCAACACAGAAAGCATCATGTGACATTGTGGCAGGAGCACTCCTGCTTCTCCCCCCCCCCTCCCCCCAAGAATCCTCTGGGTTAAGGTACTTTTAACCTCCACGGGGAAATTCGCTTATGGTCCCCAACCTGGGCTCTGCCTGGAGGAGGCCCTAAGCCCATGGGGCTTTCAGCCATCTACCTCGATATCTTTCTGCTGCTGCCGACTGTCATCCAGGAGCCTCCCCGTGACAGAGTTGAGCTTTTCATACTCCCCTTGCATCTGCAGGATGGCAGCCTGCACACGCTTCAGCGTCTCCTGGTCCTGCTCCAGGGAGGAAAATAACAAGGTAGTGCCACGCAAGGTGGGGTGGCTGCCCCACGGGGACAGACCTGGCTTACTGGGCCAGTGGCCGTAGGCTCTCAGTGCCAGCAGGACATTTGCAGCATGGCTTGAATCCCCCTCTATGCTGCAGACTTTACAAGATAATGTGGGGGGGAGCAAGGAACTCCCCCACATAACACCGAAGCACAAACAGCCGGGCATGGTTCTGGCAGCCCCCTCCCAAAGTCCCCCATGCTGCCATCTCCCTACCTGGCTCTTCCCTGGCAGCTCCCTCACCACCTTGCCCCTCTTCTTGCTTGACATAAGGGAGTCCACCAACCCCTGCAGCTTCTCATAGCGCTGCAGAAGCTTCCCCAAACGCGTGCTGACGTTGCTGCTGCAGGTGGGGCATGCGGCCTCCTCCTGCCCCGTGCTCTCCATCACGCTCAGCTCTTCCAGCTGCAGAAGGGGAAGAGGAATCACCTCTGAGATGGGACACATGCAACCAACAATCCCAGGAGCCGTGGGGGCTCCATGGCCCCAGCAAGCCAGGGGATGTGCCTGGGAACCCCACCAGGACCACCTCACCGAACCAGCGGGTGGTGAGAGCTCCCCCCACACCTCACCTGCTCCCGCTCCTCCTCGCCCGTCTGGGCCACCAACTGATCCAGTGCAGCCTTGCTTATTTGCTGCTTCTCTGCCAGATCCTTCCTGTCCCACTTTACCTCCTGCGGTGTGGACCTGGCCAGCGAGACGGGGACAGAGGTAGGCTTAGTCTTCAGAAGCTTCATTGCTCAGGGGGCATCCGTCACCCCCCATCATGGGATGCTCCCAGCCCTCCTGGGCTCCCTTGCAGCCCCACAGGGTACGAAACCCTCTCCTGTCCTTTTACCCCAATGGCAGGCTGCGTTGGTTGCTGAGGTCCATTTGCCAGCTGGCTCTGGCTGCCTCCAGTTTGCCAAGGGCACTCTCCAGCTTCCTGATCTGGGAACGGCAGTGGGGGCAGAGTCAGGGCATGGCCCCTGTGCCATCCCAGCACAGGGGCTCTCCAGCTGCCTCCTCCGTGCCCAACTCTCCCAGCATCCCTGCATCTCCCTCGGGGACTCCTTACCTTTCCCTTCTCGCCCTGCAGGTCCCTGGCCACGCCCTGCAGGTCCCTGGACAAGCCCTGCAGGTCACTGGCCAGGCCCTGCAGGGATGGCACCGGGGCCTGGAGGTCACCCAGCGTGTTGGCAACGCTCTCCTGGCCTAGAAGAACGTGGTACAAGGGGACACACTGTCAGTGAAGGGGTCTCACTCTACGGGCCAGGCTCTGAGCACAACGAGCTCCAGACGCAGCATTTCCAGCACCCCCCACAAGCCTCCCAGAGCTCCCACCTCTCTCCTGGAGGAGCAGGCGCAGCTTCTCCAGTTCAGTCGCGTCCAATTTGGTGGCTTCTAGCTGGGCCACCTGCTCCTTCAGGGGAGCACAGAGGTGTCTGAGCTCCCCAATCTGCTTGAGAGCCTCCACCGTCTCCACGTAGCAATTGTAGGCGTTGTGGTAGGCACTGCTGGAGCGCGAGGGCAAGGCCAGCTCTTGCAAGTGGGACGTGGCCCTGGGATCAGTGTCGAGCGGGATCTCGAATCCCTGGGCTGTCGGCAAGAGAGTCCCTGCTGCCAGGGGGCCTGCCTCGTGAAGCTGTGTGCCGAGCCGCTCCCCTGAGGTGGTGGTCTGAGGGACGGTGGGCTCTGGCTGCATCCCCAGGGTGGTGGTCTGGGTGCCCGTGGACTCTGGCTGGGTTGGCTGTGTCCCCAAGCTGCTGGTCTGTGCGTCCTGACACACTGTCTGCATCATCGCTGTGGTGCTAGCGTTCCTCCTCTGATCTGAGGGAACGCTTGCCTGCTGCTTAGGGGCCGTTAGAGCTGTCCCTGGATCCTTCAGCTCCACCGAGCTGTCTCTAGATCCCAGCACTGAGCTTGCCCCATGTGGGCTGTCCATATCTGAAGTGGGAGGCTTGGTGGTGGCAGACTGGTCTCCTTCTTGTTCTCCTCTGGGTCTTCCTCCATCTCTTCCTTGGTCTCCTTTGCTGCCCACCAGGCAATCCTCCAGCACATCCCAGTGCACCATGTTGGTCACCTCGTCTGGGTCTGGGTACAGGCCCAGCCTTTCCTTCAGCATTTGCTGGGGAAGGAAGGGATCAAGGGTTTACCCCCGCCATGTAGCCAGGGGCACGGCGGGACCCACAGGAGCACTCCCCCTCACAGCCAGCACCGCTGGGGACCATGCCCTAATGCAGAGATACCGCCTGCAGAGATACGTCCCCTAGGGATGCAGCCGCCTCCTGCACCGTAGCAGGATCCGGCGTGCTTGTAACCATACCACATCACTGGCCAGAGTCCTTAGGTTGCAGAGGCCTGGCAGCCGGCCAGCAGTGTCCCGGAGGTTCCCCTAGAGCGGGGCGAGGAGAAGGACGGCAGTCAGCACACAAGAACAAGACTGAACAGAAGCACCTGCAACTTAACCTGGGCACTAGACAGATGGACGCTGGGCAGGCTTGTGCTTGGGGGCTGCTGCTGTATTGCACCAGTAGATCTTGACCCTCCTTCCCAGCACCCATGCTACTTTAATGGGTGTTTAGTTAAGAAGTGCCTTAGCGCCACTTGGGCGGACACACACAGTTACCTCTACCAGCAGCTTGAGCTGCAGGCAGCGCTGCCCATTTCTGCCCTCCCCGGGGCTCCACGTAGGGTGGGCGAGCTCCCATGCTTCCCTCTTGGGACACCCTTCCTACTCTCCCCTCCCAGTGCCCCTCACACTGGGTGACACCCAAGGCCGGAGGACAGGGTCCGCAGGGAGGTGCAGGGTGATGCAGGCAGGGCAACAAGAGGCCAGCTCCCTCCTGGGGACACCAGCAGCAGCTCACCAAGCCAAGCGCCTCCTGCATCAGGCGGATTTCTTCCTGCATCATGCGGATTTCTTCCTGCATCATGCGGATTTCTTCCTGCCTGCGGGACTGCGCCTCCTTCATCTGGCTAATCTCCTCAAGGAGATCCTGGTAGACAGACGTGTCCTAGGAGAGGAGGGTGGCAGGCATGAGCCCCACAGGAGGGTCCCTGCAGACCAGGAACTTGGTCCCCACCCTGCCCCAGTGGAAGCCATCACACAAACCCCTGTCAGCAGGGCTGCATCCAGCCCTGCCTGCCCGCCCGTGCTGAACTCTGAGCAGGAGCGCTGAAACTGATGCCAAGGGCAAAGAGACACCCCTGCAGGAGGAGGCGCTTCAGTGGGGGAGCACCCAGGGGACTGGGGAGAGCCTCTGCCTCGGAGCTGCTGCTCTCGTCAGTTTCTACCTTTCCCACCAGCTGTCCCACGTCGGCAGCCACATCAGCTTCGGAGCCGCTGGGGGTGTCCTGCAGTGGGTCCTTTGCAGGCAGCTGCTCACCCGGCTGCAGGGCCTGGCTCCCCGCAGCCAGGGTCATTGCCCTGTCCCGCCCCACAGGCTGCTCCAAGCCTCGGGTGGAGCGATCCTGAAGGCCCAGGTGCCCCAGCATGGCCTGCAGCAGGTTGCGCAGCGCTCGGAAGTTCACGGCCTCGACATCGGTCGTCCCGAAAGTGGCGTCCAGCAGCTGGGTCAAGCTGAGCAGAGCCATCGCTGCCGCTATGGCCGACAACACGACTCTGACCTGCTGGCGGTAGGAGAGATAGCGGGCAGCCGGCAGCCTTCCTCCTGCTCACGCTCCCTCAGGGATGCCGCGGCCCCGTCCCCGCCGCCTCTGCGCCCTCCAGCCCTACCGCCGGCCCCCCTGACCCCCGTTCCCTGCTCCCCCCGGCCCCGTACCTGCAGCAGCTGACCCTGCCCCACCACCTGCCCTCTTTACTGACTGACCTCGACGCTCCCCGACGCCCATTGTCCGGAGCTCACAGAGGGCGGCGCTGCGGAAAACACCCGTTGCTAGGCAACGCCCCGCGGCCTTCTCCCCTCCCGCAGTTCTAGCGCATGGCTGACGGTTCCGGGCCCGACCCCGCTTCCGCCAGCCCGTGCCCAGGGAACCTTAGCGCCCCAGAAAGGCAAGCTGTCCTGCCGAGCACGGCAGAGCTATGTGGCAAAAGCAGGACAGGTTTTACTCTCTCCCTTAGGCGTGGCCATGCTGGGGGGAAGGCTGCTGCTGACAGCATCACCGCACACATTTTGAGCGTCTCCCTCCAGAGCAAAGGACTGCACAACCAGGAAAAAGCAGCGCAGACAGACACAAGCTTCCACACAACCCGAGGAAGGAGAGGACTCCAAAACATCTTGGAAGCAGTCACACATCAGACAAGTAGTGACAGAAAGAATCCCCAAGAACATCTTTTCCCGCAGAAACCTCCAGGTCCCACCATGCCGGAGAAATCGACGCCTCCCTCCTGCGGTGAGGCTCTCGGAGAATGAGGGTGGGCAAGCCAGAGGCAGAACAGATGCCTTGCTCTTTTCAAAGAGATGAGAGATTCATTTTCAGTCATTAAAGAGAGATTTGCTCTGTGTCGTCTTCTTTCCCGAGCCGGGAGGATTGAATTCCAAGAGGGAGTAGGCATGAAGAGGTGGGGACAAGATGCAGCGGGGCAGGAAGCTCACCCTCTTATGAGGGATCCTACGCCTTCACTTCAGGAAGTGGCAGAGCTTTAGGCTCAGGAGCTCCGCAGACACCCCCAGGGACTAGTCGTGCTTTCTAGGCAGCCCTCAGGGCTGGCAGAAGCTGCAAGACCCCTAAACCAGCACGGGGCCACCCCAGCACAGTCAGGCAGCAACAGCAAGGGAAGGACCTTGGGGCAGAACGGAAAGCACTGAGGTTCACTGCTGACAGGGTGGCAGATGCTGTGTCCTGCTGTGTCCTTGAGTCCACCAGCCCCAACCCACCGTCTCCCCGTAGCCTTTGGGAGCCGGTGAATGCAGAGTGCCAGTTTTCCTAAAGCAGGTAGGGATTTTGAGTCATCTCCTGGCTTCAGGTTAGCCAGCTGCGTCTGGCTTCTCGTCAGGGTAAGGTGTGAAGCAAAGGCTGAGGAGAACTCAGGCTGTGGTGCTGACTACGACCCAGGGGACACCAGCTCAACCCTCTGGTCACTGGGGCTGCCATTCCACAGTTACTAGCCAAACACAGCCTAGGAAAAGCAAGCCCAAGCGGCGCAATAGCAGGCAACAAGCCCTGACCTTACTTCTGCCAGGTCTGCCAAGCAGTTGGGAGAAAAGAGCAGTGCTGCTCACACCTTGAACACTGGCTTCCAGGATGAAAAGCATGGTCCAGCATTAGCTCAGAACAAGGGGGCTTGAACACCTCTGCGGGAACTTCATGCACTCCAGTGGATGCATTCCATAATCCTCTCAGCACAGGACTCTCTTCCTGCAACAGGCTGAGCAGCCACGCTACGCTCAGAGAGTACAGCCAGGATTTGTTCCTAGTACTTGGAAAACACAGGAACCCCATCCACAGCCTTCAGACCTCACCCAGCCCTGCGCATCCCTCGTGGGGTTTGGCTCCAAGGTTTGATCCCTTCTGGAGCTCCTGGAAACGACCCACCTGTCCTGGGCTTCTGTGTAACCTCCCGAGAGATTCGGAGAAAACTCCTGGAACAAACTCGCCAACAAAGCCGTCAAGTTGACAAGCGGGTGTTCTTTATTGCCGCGCCGGGAGACACGGGGGATAGCTCCTCCTAACGTGTATCCCCCTATTGCTATGCAAGCCGTCCTTATATAGTCACTGGGCATACATACATATTCAGGAGGCGACGCATGAATTATGTCATTTTCCAGAAAGTTTCCCGCATGCATACAAAAACATGGTGGTGGTCTTTGAGGGTCGTTTACTTCTTCCAACAATCTTCATAACTTCTGGCAGCCTTTGAAGCACCAGCCTA